GGTTGAAACATTGCTGGTGTCACTGGAATTAATCTCCAAGAAGAGAGAAACAAGTCTGCCTTGCTGGGGGGATCACATGTGCTCTGCTAGGAAGCTGACTGAATGACAGGACACTTATCATGGAGCCACAGGAGAGGGGACAGGCCAGGGGGAGTGATGAGCTGCTCTGCTGTGGCTCATTGTCATCTGTAGTTCTCTGTGGAGAGAAGAGAGGTGACCCTCATGGGCTCCCCATAGCCTCAGCCCCCAGGAGATAACGTGTGCAGAGTAGAGCTCAGTTCCTGTGGGTACAGGAACCTTCTGATTGCTGGCAGGACATGGACTGGTCATGGAGGACACAATTGAGAACAAGCTTAGATTTGTCCACACCACTGTCTCCTCACCACGCAGTACTGACTACCCAGAATGCAACACCATGCTGCCTCTGGCTCCCTTGGGCAAGAGGGGGAGGGGCTGCGGAGGTGGTAAGGGTCTCATGACAATGTCCTAAAGCAGTGTGGATCTAAACCAAGTTGCAGAGCCCGCTGAGTGGCAGAAGCCTCAGGTTTTTCCTAGCTGGGGGGACTTTAGTGGGTTCTTCCTGGACCCACCAATTGCAGTCTCCGGATTACCATGTCCTATGCTTCTATGTGAGTGTGCCCCTTCGGTCCTGCTACCTGTGGCCTTGCAGAGCTCCCTCCCGACCAGGGCTGCCATGACACATTCCCTGTGCAAGACGCCCTGGTCCTCCCTGCATGGGCTTTTCCTGCTGGGGTCTGGTCAGGAGGTTACAAGACCAATGACCTCCACTGAGGTCGGCCCAAGTTCCTGCTAGGCTATCTGAGTTACCTGAGACCACAGGGGCTGATTGTCCATGGGGTGGGGCTCCCTGGATCCCAGCAGTGCCAGGGACTATAGCAGCAGTGGTTTTGGGAATTGTCTCCCAGTGCCCTGCCCCAAACAAGACTCAGCCATCTGCTTTTCCTCCTGCTGCCCCCTCACAGCTCATCGTCACTGTCCTCTGGGTTCTCTCACTCACTTTGTTCTCCCTTGTGTCACTTGGGCTTCTCTGAGGCCCCACATGACCTCGTGAGCATCTTGGTACACAATAACCTTTTATCCACAGCTCACTGTGCCAGCCCGATGTCACACCCAACAGCGCAGGCAGGCCAAGCTCCAGTTCTCTGCACAGGGTGGCCTCCTGGGGGCTTGGCCTCCCTTGTACATAGGGTGGTACAGAGGGATGGGGGCAGGTTGCTAGGAGGCAGGTCAATCTTTCACCGGAAGGCTGCCCTCCCTGGCTGCTCTAGCTGACCAGTGAGGTGGCTGCTCCTCAGCCCTCAGTTCTTTGCTTTGGCCACTACACTTGGAGAGTTCCACTAACTCTAACTCCCAGTGATCTGCCATTATTCCCTGACTGTTGCAGCCCAGAGCTATGACCCCAAGGGCAGTGGTAAACAAAGGCTGTTTGCTCCCAGAGGGTGTTCCAAAAAGCTCTGGCAGCCTGGCAACATTACCAAGTCTCAGGAGATTTTGGGTGGAGTGTGTCGCAGTGGGGACTCACATAGCATGGCTGCTGCAGGTAGGCGAGAGACTGGGCAGGGAACTTAGAAGTTTGATCTGTCACTCCAGGGGCAGGCCTCTTCCTGCTGGCGGCTCACTGTGACGGTTCTGGAGGCACGGAGGCTGCGCAGGGCTGACCTGTGTGAGTGACTGTCCTGGGCTCCAGAGGGTACTGGGGACAGGATCCTGTGGGAGAGGGCCAGGCAATGCCTTGGGCTGGGCTGGGCTGCCCACAATGGCCTCTGGGTCTTGGCAGGAATCTGCTGAGGCCCCTGGAAAAGGATATGAGGGCTTCCTCTTTCTCCTGATGGTTCCCTTGACTTTGGCAGTGAGTGAGACAGACCGTATGTGATCCTGCAGCTGCCATCCGCTCCTGGAAAGAAGTTCAAAACCAAAACGATTGCCAACTCCAGTCATCCTGTGTGGAACGAGACCTTCAGTTTCCTCATCCAGAGTCAAGTCAAGGTACCACTGTCCGTGCACTTGCAGAAAGCTGTGCTCCCCTTCCCCAGGAGTGTTCTTGGGGATGAGAGTGGTTTGGGGCCCTAAGCCCCTATGTGCTGTGAGAGAATGCATCCTTCTCCCTGGCCCTGGGACCAAACTCCAGTAAGCTGCTGCTCCTCTGTAGACATGCCTGTGGAGACAGTCGCGTTCCTTCTGAGGGGGCTGCTGTGAGGTTAAAGGAAGCATGGCAGAAGACTGCCACATAGTGCCTGGCACTTGCTTTGGGGTTCACTTTAAGGAACCAGCAAACAGGGGGTGGGAGAGAATTCTCTGACAGAATTTTTTGCTTGCTTTTGAGACAGGGTCCCTCCATGTAGCCCAGACTACCTTTGATCTCCAGATTCTCCTGCCTCAGCCTCCCCAGTGCTGGGATTACTGGTGTGCACCACTATGTCTGTCTTCAGAATTTAATTTTTTGATAAAAAATAAAAATTAGGAGGTGAAATTAGAAACTTCCTTGATTTCCTTATACTTTTTTTCCCTTTATTGTTGTGATGGATGGGGGTACATTGTGGCATTTTTCACAGGTTATTACAATGTATCAAGTATATCATGCATGAATTCACCTCCTCAACCATTCTTCTTCATCCCTCCCCTATTTCCTTATACTTTAAAAAAATTTTAAGCCAGGTACTGGTGGCTCACACCTGTAATCCTAGCTATTCAGGAGGCGGAGATAAGGAGGATTAAAGTTAAAAGCCTGCCTGGGCAAAAAAAGTTCTGGTGATCCTATCTCAAAAAAAATCATCACAAAAAAGGAGTGGTTCAAGGTGTAGGCCCTGAGTTCAAGTCCCAGTACAGCCAAAAAAAAGTTTTACAGTTATTTATGAGCTGTTGTTGCAATGAGTAGATAATGTGCTAAGTTACTGTTCTCTGTCCCAAGAATGTTCTGGAGCTGAGCATCTATGACGAAGACTTAATCACAAAGGATGGCATCTGTTTCAAGGTTTTCTATGATGTCTCAGAGGTCCTCCCTGGCAAAGTGCTCCGGAAAACCTTCTCCCTGGATCCCCAGGTGGGCGGAGACTTCTGACTCCTCTCCCACCTGTTGGGCTGCTGCCGGCTGAGTTCATCCACAGGACTATATGTAAATCAAACCCAGAGAGATTTGCATATTCATTGGAAAGGAGCCGCCCTCATTGCAGTTACAGACAGCATTAGTCAGTGCGGGGAGGGGGCCAGGGCATCTTCTAAGCCCCTTGTCTTCCAGTCCTGCCTGGCCCAGGGTCTGGGGAGCCAGAGTCTGCCTCTTTCCTGCAGACTTCCCAGCTGTGGGCAACTTGGGCAGGCAGCCCTCCTTGTCCTGCACCCTTGGATTGTAAATAACTGCAATAGCATGCCTCCTTAGATACTTCTTGAAATGATGAGATCGCACATTTAATAGAACTGTGTCAACTATAAATGTTGATGACTTGCTCACCTTTTTTTGATTTCAGGGACAGGAAGAGCTAGACGTGGAGTTCCTGATGGAGAAAACGTGTGTAATATCACACAGCCCCGGGAATAGTGGGGGACGCAGGCTCTCTGTAGGGAAAAGGCCTTGACACAGGTCTGGTGTTGGTCTGTCCAGCTGTCAGTAGCTGTCCTTTTCTCCACCTCTGCCAGGGAGGTCTGGAAGCTCTTCTTAGAGAACAGAGGAGAGAAAGGGCAATCTTCCCTGCCTGGCTCTCTCCTCTCACCTTTCATTCGGCAGAGGCATTTCCTCTCATCTGGGATCTTAGCCAGGATGTAAGAGCCTGCAGCACTGCCCAGGGAGACCCTGTATGAATGGGCGGCAAGGGGACAGGTCAATACAGGATGCCTTTGCCCCTATAAAGTCAGATGGCATGATTTGATTTTTCCAGGTTGGACCCTCCAGAAAATCTCATCACCAACAATGTCCTTGTGGTAACTGCTTTTCCAGCCTTAGGGGAGGGGCCCAGATCTGTGGAGATTGGGGGCATTGGGGTGTGGATGAAAAGTGCTTTGTGGGTAGGTCACCCCCAATCTCCCAGCCAGGTGAACACCTGGGACTGTGGGGTTGGGGAGGGTGCTGCAGCTAAGAGGCACATAGAGGGGAGGCTGGCTCTGCTGAGAGGAGATTCTGGTTCCAGGCTGGATACCTGAGGGATGGTGGGCAGTTTTAGGCACTTTCTGATGGGGCTTGGTCAGGTGTGATGATCTAGAGTTCACAGGAAGTCTTCCCTACATGCCAGGCACACCTTTAGGTTGTCAATACTGAGGTCACTGAGGCTCACAGGGAGTTTCCAGTGTGCTGTGCTTCCAGTCTAGGAGATGGGGGAAGTAAGATCAGCAGGTCACTTAGCCCTTCCCTGGGACTGGGAGGATCAAGAGCAACTCTCCTAAAGCGGCTAGCTCATGAAGCTGCAGGGGGCAGGAACGGCCACAAGGTGGCCAGCGCTGCCTGAGACGTCTTCAAACAGGCAGGGTCCTTGGACCTAAGGCCCTTGGAGCCAGCCAGCAGCCCAGGAAGTGCTGTGGAGGTGCCTAGGGGCTCCCTTCTCAGCGCCTGTCTGATGAGCTAGTTTACTTTCTAAAGGAATACACATTAAAATGAGGTCAAGCCCACGACAGCTGTCCCTGGAACCAGCAGTGGGTTGGTAGGTGCAGTAGTTCTAGGGAGAGGGCCAGGGGCGAGGGCGGGCAGTGGCATTACTGTCCTCAGGAGAGGACAGGCAGAAGGTGTTCCATTCATACCATTACAGTGCTCCTCTACCACTCCATTCTGCCACTTTGCGGGCCTGTGGTTTGCACACACTTCCTTGTAATGGGAGACATTCTCCAGGTCAAGGTGGCAAACACAGGAAAGGAGGAACTGTGCCTGAGAGCTGGCTTTCAGAGCTCCCAGGAGATTGCAAAAGCTAGGCGAGCAAGGATGGGGTAGAGATGGGCTCTCCTAGGTGTTCCACAGCATCAGGCTTAGCAGTTATGACAGACCAGAGACGGGCTGAAGGGCTGCTGCATCCATTCCCATTCTGAACCCCCTTCTTCTTCTGTGTGTGGTGGATTTGGGACAGTGAGGCTTGGGGTGAGGTTGAGGGGACCTCAGTTTACCCCACAGAGCCCCCTGCCTATGATGTGGTCTGCCCCAGGTCCGAGAGCTGTCACACCTAGATGTCTGTCTGGACAGAGCAGAAACCACAGTTGAGGCAGCAGGTGAGACCTGCTCAGAATCAGGTCTGCAGTGTGCCTGCAGGCAAAGGCTGCTGGGAACCCTCCATGGGGCAGGAGGGTCCCCTGCCCTGGGGAGAACATGTCACAGGAGGAGGGAGTCCCATGGGGGGTTGTGAGGCCCAGCAGGCCAGGGAGGGCCCTCTTCTGAATCCTGCTTACCATGGTCCAGCCTGCCAGATCTTTTCCAGGTCCACGCAGGACTGCTGGTAGCTCAGGTCTGAGCTGGGTTCCAGGCTTTTGTTCCCCTCCCACTAACCTGCTCACTCGTTCCCTAGGTCAGGACAAGCTGGAGCTGGAGCTGGTGCTGAAAGGGTCCTATGAGGACACACAAACATCTGCCCTGGGCACAGCCTCTTCCACTACCTTCAGCTTCCACTACCTGGCAGCCCAAGACTCAGAGCTGAGTGTGTGCCTGAGGGTGGGTCTCAGCTCACCAGTTCTCCACCAACCCCAGCCTTAGGCAGCTCCAGCTGCTGCAGGCCCCTCCCTAGCCTTTCCCCTGCCAAGGCCAGGCCTCTGTGACCTTGTCAGCCTCGCCCCCTTCAGTTAAGTGCTGCAGTCTTGGAAGACAGGGAGGATTGGCCAATGCCATTCCATCTTCGATCCTCTGATGGCTCCTCAAATGAGGCTCTTAGAGTAAAACCTGACGTCCATGCTCACAAGGCCTTGCCCAGCCCGGCCCTGGCCCACGTCTGCTGTCGTATTTTTGTCCCTCGATCCCCTTGTGTATGATGCTTCAACCACACATCTCTTGCTTTTCCAACATGCCACATGCTCTCTCCCTGTTTTCCCTTGGCTCATTCCATAGCTGCCTTTCCACTTCTTCCTTAACATCACAGCTCCAGTGATAACTCTTTAGCTGCCCCCGCTTCCTCCCCACCTCAGGCAGACTGACCCCACTCACCCTGCCTTTGGTTATGCTCTCATGCCATACTGCTTATGTCTTTTACAACACTTGTTAACATCAGTTCATTACCTACTTGTAAATTTATTTATGTGGCTCCATGAGAACAGTGCCTTTGTGCTAAGTAAGTATTAGCCATTATTGTTTTGTAATTTTTAGCAACCATAATTGTTATAATCAGTTTTATATTATTTGGGGAGGGGACCGTGGCTATTTTGTTGCAGTCCAGATACTCAGTAAGGATTTGTTGAATGAATGACTATTTCTCTCCAGAGCTCCAGAGGCAATGCCTGTAACTCAGACACTGTAGGTGGGCACCTCACTGTGCCTCTGAGGTCCTTGGCCATGGGGAAAGAGGTGACTATGGATTTTCCTGCTACAAATGTAAGTGGCCTCAACTGGATGGGAAGGGCCAATGGGAATGAAGACAAAGGATTCCAAGATCCCATGGCTCCCCAGGGTCTACAACAAAGCTCTTGCTTTGATTTTAGGCCCCGGAACTAAGGTTGCAGCTCAAGGTAGACAGCTGGTAAGGGCCTTTCATGTCTGTAGGGGGAAGTGAGGGGTGGTTACATGGGAGGGGATGCTGTGAAAGGGGTGGCTCTTGGGGCTGGAGTAGGGAGGTTAGTTGGCCATTCTTTGTGGGTTTGGTCTACCAGTGAGTGAGCCATGCAGGTACCTCCTGACCCCCGGATTCTCCACTGCCCCAGTCCTCAGGAGCTGACCATGCACCTGGGCTTTGACCTGTGTGCAGAGGAACAGGCCTTCCTGAGCAAGAGGAAGCAGGTGGTGGCCAAGGCCCTGAAGCAGGCCCTGCAGCTGGACAGAGACCTGCAGGAGGATGAGGTCTGGGGGTGTAGCAGGGATATGGGCACTGAAACCCTGGGCTGGCTTTAAGGGAGACCTGTCTGTGCCCTCTCCAGACACACCAGTCACCAGAGAATGGAGAGTGGGGGTGTGGGAGACATACCAGGTAGGGTAATCTGTGGGGTTCTTGCTCCCTTTGGGGCTCTGACCTGGGCTGAGAGCTGTCCCTTTTGGGGTAAGGACTGGCCCTAGCTTTAATACTGATTCCATTAGGCCCTGATCTCTTGCCTGAAAGCAAGAGGGAGTAGGCTGGCCCTGGGAAAGGCAAGGGGCTGCTTGTCCCTGTCCTTGTTAGGCCAGCCCATGTCTGTGTGTGGTCCAGGTCCCTGTTATAGGCATCATGGCCGAAGGAGGAGGTGCCCGGGCCATGACCTCGCTCTATGGACACCTATTAGCCCTGAAGAAGCTGGGCCTCCTGGACTGTGTGACATACCTTGGTGGCATCTCGGGCTCTACGTGGTAAGAGCCATGGGGCTGGAACAGCAGAAATGCCCAGGGCACAGAATGAGGCAAAAAGGATGCCAGAGGGAGCCTTTGAATGGCGACACCAAGTGGGCATGAGCGGCATGATATGATGGGGGCCACACAGCTTTCTCAAAAGGAAGAATGAACCAGAAGCTTCCTTCAGGATGGAAGTCCTACCAGGACAACAGCGAGGCAGGAGGGCTTCCTCCAGGTGCTACCAAGCAGCTGGAAGGGGGCTGATCCAGGAGCTGGGTTTGTGATCTCGGTGACCCCACCTGTAGGCTTGGGTGACCTTGAGCAACTTCTCACCTCTGATTTTGTTGGGCATAATAAGAGAACACACCTCACAGGACTGGAGTGGGACAGCCACCTAAGCACTTAACCCAACTCCCAACACATAGCATTGCTTCAAATTGCTATCTCTTCCTTCCTCAGTCATTGCCTTAGGTAACGCTCACACACTTTCTGAGGTAGTTTCTCTCTCTTGCTCATACAGGTCAGGTGAGGAAATTGAAGTCAAGAGACGCCATTTTACCTCAAGGCAACATTGCCTCCCTACCCTCAACCGGCCAGTGGTGAGGGGACCCTGTCACTACTAGAGACTCATTCCTTTGAGTCTCGGTGAAATGTGGCATTAGGAGTACAATAAACTAGACTAGATGACAGCCCTTGACAAGCACAGTCTTCCAAGGCTTCAGGACAGACCCCAGTGGAAGTGGGCCCGGCACCGTCCAGTATGGCGGCCGTTAGTATATACTACTGCTCATCTCTTGAAATGTAGCTGGTCCAAACTGGGATGTGTGACAAAACACATGGGGAATTTTGAAGACTTTGCATGAAAAACCCGCAAATTATGTCAAGAACTTCTTATATTGATTACAAGCAGAAATGCACATTTTTGGATATATTGAAAAAATATATTAATTTTTACTGGTCTATTTATACTCTTTTTTTCTTTTTTTTTAAAGACAGGGTCTCCCTATGCCCGGGCTGGCCTTAAATTCACAGTCCTCCTGCCTCAGCCTCCTGAGAGCTGGGATTACAGGTGTGAAGCGCTGTGCTGGCCTCTTTCTATTTCTTGATATGTTATCTAGGAAATTTAAATTACACATGGAGCTGGGGTTGTAGCTCAGTGTAAAGCTCTTGCTTAGCATTCACGAGGCCCTGGATTCCATCCCCAGCACCGTAAAACAAAATAAAAACCAACAACAACAAAAAAACCATAATGACTCATTGTATTAATATTGAACAGGGTGATCTAGAAGAAACTTTTGAGCTGTATTTTCTAGCTGAGCAGAGCCTTGGCTGCAGGAGAGCTGTGCTGGGAAAAGATGGAGGGTAGGAAGGAGGAGCTGCAGGCCCCATGTTGGGCCTCTTACTGTCCTGTCCCCTTGCTCCCCCCAGGACAATGGCCCACCTGTACTGGGACCCAGAGTGGTCACAGAAGGACCTCAAGGGACCCATCAGCCATGCCCGGGAACACTTGGCCAGGAGCCAGCTGAAGGCCTTCTCCCCAGAGTGCCTGGCGAGCTACCACCAGGAGCTGAAGCTTCGGGCAGAGCAGGGGTACCCCACGACCATCGTGGACCTGTGGGCCCTGGTGCTGGAGTCCAAGCTTCACGGCCAGGTAGGTCACCTGCTCAGGTGAGGAGAAGAGGTGTGCACCTGTGTGCATTTCCTGCATGGTGGGAGAGGAAGGGACCCATCCTTAAAGAATGTGAGTTTCACTGCCTATGCTGTGGTTCACACCTGTAATCCTAGCTACTTGGGAGGTTTAGGTTGAGAGGTTCGTGGCTCAAGGTTATCCTAGTCAAAGAGTTCACAAGATCCTGTCTCCAAAATAAACTCAGCAAAATGGACTGGAGGCGTGACTCAAGTGGCAGAGTATCTGCTTTGCAAGTGAAGCCCTGAGTTCAAACCCCAGTCCCACCAAAACAAAGAAAAAAGAATGGGAGTCTCATGGTGTTTTAGTGTCTGCCCAACTTTGGGACACTGCCAGTCTGAGTTAGGCTCTTCTCCAGGCAATAGAAGTTTCTGGACCTCCCGAGAACTGGGAATCAGTCAGTTAGGGAAACACAGCTTTCCAGGGTTTGAATAAGGAAGATTTGTAGAACTGCTCTTGTTTTCTGGAATGTTATTATTGTTCTTTTTAAGGAGAGTGTGAAAAGCACAGAAAAGGCTCAGAGTGCCTGGGTTCTAATCCCAGTGCGTCTTGCTGTGTGTCCTTAGTCAATTACTCAGTCTCTGTGCTTGAGTTTTCTCAACCGTCATTGCTGGCATGAGAGTAGGGTTTTCACTCAATGGCGCCTGAGCACTGTTAGCTGATCCATATCTTAACATCAAGACAACGGTGAGCTGGGCATGGTGAAGGGTTTATCGAGATAAGGTCTTGTGAACTATTTGCCTGGGCTTGCCTCGAACCTCTATCCTCCTGATCTCTGTCTGCCTTGTGAGTAGGTAGAATCCCCACCTGCAATCCTAGCTACTTGGGAGGCTGAGATTGGGAGAATTGTGGTTCAAGGCCAGCCTGGGGAAATAATTCACAAGACCCCGTCTCCAAAATAACCAGAGTAAAATGGACTGGAGGAGTGGCTGCCTTGCAACTGTGAGGCCCTGAGTTCAAATCCCATTATCACCCCCTCCCACAGAGTATATTCATTTCAGAAGGAAATGGAGTCATTTCAATTTTTTAAAAAATTTTTTTCTCACTGGCAAGCACAAACTTTCAACCATTCTTTTTAAAAATTAGTTTTAAAATATGCAACTATTAATACTAATTATTACATATTATGAAAGTCTTCACACCTTAGAAAAGTGAGTTAAGCATAAACAATGGTGTCATGAATATGCATGATCTCACAAATCAACATAAGAAATGAAGCCTGTGTTTCCTCCTATCCCAAAGGGAGTATTATTTTGGTGAGACATCAGATTTTCAAGTTTAGTTGTCATTTAGGCTTACTTTTCCATGAATTACCTACTGAACTCCTTTTCCAGTTTTCCATTTAGTTTGTCTTGTTTATATATTTTTAAAGGAATTCTCTATATATCTGCATATTAATCCTTTACCAGCTGCAGTGATTTTGATGCATAATTTAATATAGTCATTATCATCTTTCTCTTTTATGACATTTATTATTTATTTATTTATTTTTGCAGTACTGGGGCTTGATCTCAGGGCCTTCACCTAGAGCCACTCCACCAACCCTGCTTTTGTGAAGGGTTTATCGAGATAAGGTCTTGTGAACTATTTGCCTGGGCAGGCTTCAAACCTCTATCCTCCTGATCTCTGTCTGCCTTGTGAGTAGGTAGAATTGTAGGCTCCTTTATGACATTTTTAAGTCTTCCTTTCCTTTCTTTCCCAAAGGTTATAAAATCCTTTCATAGTTATACACGTATCCATGTATTCACACTCATTTAGCCCTGACTGACCTCAAATTTGAAATTCTCTTACGTCAGCCTTCCAAGTAGCTGGGATTACAGGCACACACCATCATGCCTGGCTCCCTTTCTATATATTTGTTATACATATTAAAGATCTGTTTTTTACAATTAGATCTTGAATCCATGCAGAATTTAAGTATCATGTCGATAGGGGTCCAGTTCCTTTTCTCTTAAGGAGAAATTTTCCCAGTCTCATAAGTTGATTTTTCCTTCACTAATCTATAACATTGCTACTTCTGTCTTGCAGCTGGTTGTGTATACTTAGGACTTCCCAACCTCTTGATTCTGTTCCCACAGGACCGATTTCTCTCCCAAGGGCAATACACACCGACTCACCTCCTTTAGTTGTGCAATGAGTTCTTAGGGCAAGTTTATCCCACCTGCACCCTGGTTCTTCTTTCAGATTACTGTGGCCACTCTTGGCCCTATGTTTTATTACATAATAGGACCAGCTAGTCAAGTTTCATGACAAGTGTTGGGATTTTGGTTGGAATGGCACCAAATTTATAAAATGAACACAAGTACTTGGAATATTTTAATTTCATTATTATGTCCTATATATTTTTTTGGATTTATTGTTTAAGGTCACATTCACTTTCGATTGAAATGTGTGTGTGTTGTACTGACTTTTCTGCCTAGTGGCAAGAGTTAGTTATCCTACAGAGGAGAAGGTTGGTTTTGTTTCTTGTTTTTCTGGGGATTTTTTTTTGCTTTTTTTTTTTTTCAGCATTATTGAAGTTTGAACTCAGGACTTTGTGTTTTCTAGGCAGGTGCTCTACAACTTGAAGAGAAGCTTTATTTAACAGTTCACTTTAGGAGGTGCTATAGAACAATGTAGTTTAATCCCTACTATAAAGAAGATTTTTATTTAGTTACCATTTGATTCTCCAGTAATGACTTAATGCGTGACTTATGGTTTATAGTAAAATTTTAAAAGATACTTAATTAGTTTCTTATTGCTCATAAGAACAAAAGTTCTTGTGACATTGTTAACCATCATTTCTTAAAAGGAACATCTGTGGCTGGGCAAGGTGGCACAGTCCTGTAATCCCAGATACTCAGGAGGTAGAGGTAGGAGGACCAAGGTTTTAGGCCAGCCTGGGCAAAGTGCAAGACCCTATCTGAAAAGCAAACTAAAGGCAGATTGGCTGGGGGTGTGGCTCAAGTGCAGAGTGCCTGCCTAGCAATAGCACTCCTTTCTGAGGCAGCCACTACCACTGGCCTTGCTGGAGAGTCCTGGGTCCTGGCAAGAATGAGGCCTTTCTGTGCCCCTAGAACTCTGGGAGTTTTGTGACATCTTCCCCCAAACAGAAAGCCACAGTTCTTTCTACTAGAGACAGACATAGCTTGGAATTTGTTGAAACAGAAAATTAGGAACAAAGGCAAGGATAAACCACAGAGTTTATTCCTCATACTGAGAGAATTAGGAAAAGATGGGGGATAGAGAGGGGGAGGAAAGGATGTCAAGAAGGCACTGCAGAGGGGCAGAAACTTAACCTTCATTGAAATGACCCTAAAAGGGGCAGACTCTCAGTGCATGCGGATGCCCACACATGCCTTTGTGTCTGTGTGTCTGCACCCACACCCATCCACCCACAAACCCATACAGACGGCCACTGAACGCACAGGATGTGGGAAGGACTATGGTTTCTGTAGTCTGTGTGACTGGCTGTCCCTGTAGACACAAAGAACACAACCTGTATACCCCTGGATGACACCCCTGCACACGGGGCTGGTCAGCACTGGCTTTGTACACACCACCCATACCCCCAGATCCCAAAGGAGCAGCTGCATCCTCACCCCTGGCCTGTGCCCTTGCCCCACCCTTGTCCTGGTAGAATTTCTGCCCCCCCAGGACAATCCCACCTCACTCAGGTCCTCATGTCAACCCCAGGTGACAGATCACAAGCTGTCAGAACAGAGAGCTGCACTGGAGCGGGGTCAGAATCCTCTGCCCTCTACTTGAGCCTCAATGTCAAAGAAAACAATATGGACACCCTCGACTTCAAGGGTACAGTCCTATCCACCCGATCCCCCAGTGCTCCCCTAAATCCTCTGCACCTCAAGAGAGCTCAGAGAATTCTACTTATTTATTTATTTATGTGGTGGTACTGGGGTTTGAACTCACAGCCTCACACTCGCGAGGCAAGTGCTCTACCATTTGAGCCACTCCACCAGCCCTGCTCAGAGAATTCTAGCTGGCAACTCCTGCAAAGAGCACCCAGCCTTCTGAAAGGAAGGTGGCTTGATGGGCCCAGGAGCCAGCAGGGACACACTCTGTCCTGGGGAGGGGGAGGGCATCAGAGCATGAGGACAGGGCTGGGGGGGGCTTGGTTGAGTGAGTGCCAGGCAGAGCTGGGGCTCCCCTAGCCCACTCCCTCCCATCTCTGCCTCTTCTTCCTACTCCTACAGAATGGGTAGAGTTCTCCCCGTATGAGATCGGGTTTCTGAAGTACGGGGCCTTCATTCCCTCCGAATTCTTTGGCTCTGAGTTCTTCATGGGGCGACTGATGAGGAGGATCCCTGAATCTCAGATCTGCTTCCTGGAAGGTGAGGGGTGGCCACTGTGAAGGCCCTGGCCAGGACTCTTTCCGAATATAACTCCCATGGCTTAGGTCTGGGTAGAGTCCCAGGAGGAGAGGCAGGGACAGCCCTCTCCCTGCTCTCATGTTCCATCAACACCCAAAGGTGAGGGACAGGGCCTGTGGCCTAAGGGCTCACCTCTTTTGGGGGGTTGGCATCCAGGGATCTGGAGCAACATTTTCTCCTTGAACTTGCTGGACATCTGGTATGACCTCACCTGCTCTGGAGAGGACTGGAAGCAGCACCTCAAGGACAAGGTGGGGAACACAGGTAGGAGAGGGGGATAAGGGGCCTGGGACGAGGCTGCTCCCCTTTGGACACTGGTGGAGGAGGGGTGCCTGAGCTTTGCTCCTCTGGCTGCAGAGAAGGAGTCCCCCACCTCCTCAGGGTCATACTCATGGATGGAGGCCTCGTGGCTTCAGCCTGGAACGACATTGGCTCAAGCTTTTAGGGGCTTCCTGACTGGCAGGCCCCTGCACCAGCGCACCACCAACTTCCTCCACGGCCTCCAGCTGCACCAGGACTACTGTGGCCAGAAAGATTTTTCCACCTGGGCAGGTAAGGCCATGGGTCCCCACAACAAGGCTCGACTCCTGGGTGTGAGTGGCCCATGGCTGTTGGGTCACAGCATCCGTTTCTGGGTGTCTAGAGAAGATCCCATTGGAAGGTCTTGGGGAAGGACTGGGATGGTGTGTGCATTTGGGGAGTGACATCAGAGGTCAGAAAGAGACATGGAGGTGAATGTGTTCAGAATGGGGGTGGCTGAACTACCTGTGGCAGGTGGTTTCCTCTGATTGTCACTGCCTCTCCCACCAGACTGCCAGGTGGACTCCACCCCCAGCCAGCTGACCCCCGGGATTCCCAGCTCTGCCTCGTGGATGCCGGCTACTTCATCAATAACAGTTGTCCCTCCATGCTCCGGCGGGGTCGCCAGCTGGATCTCATTCTCTCCTTCAACTACTCCCTATCCTCTCCCTTTGAGGTGCCTCTGGTTGCCCCACGGGAACCCCAGACCCTCTGCCCAGCCAGGCCAAGCTCCAGGGGCAAGCATCAGGGCCACTGAGCCACTGCCACACACATCCCACGTCCCAGAGGGAGGGAGAAGTGACAGGCTGAGTCACAGGTCCTGTGAGGGTTGTTGGTTGGCAAGGGCAAGGGCTAGGCTCCTGAGACAGGTGAATGGGATCCTCTTTGGGGCAGAACAGCTGGGCAGAGCTGGGAGGAGACTGGGCCACTTCACAGCCACCCCCTACCAGGGTTCCCTGGATGGCGATAGTGCCGGCATGCAGGGGTACACATGTGAGTCCCCTATTGAGACCCTCCAGGTTCTGGGACTCAAATAATCCAGCAGTGGCAATGCAAATTGGGAGGAGGGGGCTGGGTCTGCACCCCACCTAGAACTTTTAACCACTGGGATCCGTGGGCCCCCTGGGAGGCTTGGGTAGCTTAGCTGGGCCATCAACAGGACAGACGCCACTATTGCACTGATGCCAAGGAGCCATTGGGGGTGGAACTGGCCTAGCATTTTCTAAAATACTGTTCTGGGATGACCTGGCTCCCTCTGGGCCATCCTGTCCCCTGCCAGGCGCTGCAGCAGACGGAGCTGTACTGTAGGGCCCGGGGACTGCCCTTCCCCGGGTGGAGATCAGCCCTGAGGACCAATGCCAGCCCAGGGAGTGCTACCTCTTCTCGGACCCTGCCTGCCCTGACGCCCCTGTCCTGCTGCACTTCCCACTGGTCAACGATTCCTTCAAGAGCTTCTCAGCCCCTGGTGAAGCAGCCCCTCCACTCCTGCCACAGCCTGGAGCCCTGAATGGGGCTCGTCCCAGCTAGGCTTTGGACTGCCTTCCTGCCTTCATGGCCAAGGCCCGCCCACAACCTTGCTGTGTCTTCATGTCACTGCGCTGGTGTCTTCTTGGTCATGACCCCAGGCTCCTTTGGCTTCTGTTTTCCCCTAGTCCCCCTAGACAACCCTGTACCCCTCTGCTCCTGCTCTGTGTGTATGTGTGGGGGGAGTTCAATTGGCCTATCATCTTATCCATCCCAGCCTGGTGTCCCTTCTCAGGGAGCTGGGCCTCTCCCAAGGGCCCCCAGCTCTAAGCCCTCATCACACTCTTTCCTATACTGTCCTGCTACCAGCTTGTCAACTATCAGAGCTAATTTCTGCCTTGGTGCATTAATTCTCAGCTTTCGACTCCAGCCATAATTCTAAATTTTCCAGTTATTTTTACCTATTTATTTTTGGCATATCAGGGCCTGTGCCTAGGCAGGCAATCTACCACTTGAGCCATGCCTCCAGCCCTTTTTTGCTCTGGTTATTTTGGATATTAGGTCTTGGCTTCCCACTGTAGCTGGGATGACAGGCACACACCACCACATCCAGCTTTTTTCTAGTGAGATGGGGTCTCACAAACTTTTTCCTGAGCTGGATAGAATCTCAATCTTCCCTGTCTCAGCCTCCTGCTTAGCTTGGGATGACAGGTGCATGCCACGGTGCCCAGCGATTGGTTGAAATAGGGTCTTGAAAACTTGTTTCTGGGGCTGGCCTTAAACTGTGATCCTTCTGATCTCAGCCTCCCAAGTAGCTAGGATTATAGATGTGAGCCACCAGTGCCTGGCTCCACCTTGTTTTTTGAAATAGGATCTCACTGAAATAGGGTCTCGCTAACTTTTTTCTGGGCTGGACTTGAACCTCGATTCTCCTCTTTGCTTCCCAAGTAGCTGGGATTACAGGCATGAGCCACAGTGCCCAGGCATTCCAGCTTTATTCTTAACATCCTTGTTCTGGCTGTTTCCACCTTACCTGGAAGCAGTGTAGGGTGATATCATGGAGCTGCCCTAGTAGTGAAAGAAGTGTCAGGTATGAGAGGGCAGCAAATGCCTGTTACCTGAAAATAGTCTCCTGGGTGAAGGGCACAGAGAGCTGGGAGAGAGCGAGGACCTTTCCCACGGGGAGTGGCCACCCCTGTGCCCCGCTGGGAGGCTTAGTCCTCCTCAACCATGGAGCCCTCTGGGACCTGCACCTGACCCTCCTCCCACCCTTGGGCAGGTGTCCGGCGCAGCCCCACCGAGCTCCAGGCCGGCCAAGTGGATCTCAGCAGGGCCACCTCCCCCTACACCCTGTTCAACATGACCTACAAGGAGGAAGACTTTGACCGTCTGCTGCAGCTCAGCCACTACAATGTGCAGAACAGCCAGGCCACCATCCTTCAGGCCCTGAGGACCGTTCTTAAGCGCAGGGTGCCAGCGGCCTCCACAGCTGAGCCATCAGGGGTGCAGATGTGAGGCCGCTCAGGAGCCCCACATTCTGCCCCACAATGTGTTCTGACCCTCCAGGAATTGGGGTCTAACCCAGTGTGCAGCTGCGCACAGCCACGGCCTCCTTGACTGGGGTGCCTGGATCTCCCAGGCCTGGCCACCTCTGCAGCTGGTCTCCCTGTTCCCCACCCACATTCTTCCTGTGTTCCCAGCTGGCTTGAGAGGAGTTGGAAACCCTCTTGACCAAGTCAGTGCGTGGAGCAACTGGTCATTCCAGGCAGCGTCGGCGAGGAATTGCTTCATTTTCTGAGCAGAATGGATTTACAGTGGCTCAGGCAACCAGACTCACACTGCCTCCTCCTCCTCCTTCTCCTCCTCCTCCTTGTGCTCCATGCAATACACAAGTTTTGCTCTTGCTTAAATTTATGTCTCAATATTTTTATTCTCTTTGGATGATAGTGTAAATGGAATGAGTTTGGTAATTTCATTTTCACATTGTTCATTGCTATTTTGTAGATACACGGTTTATTTTTGAATTTTGATCTGGTACTCTGCAATCTTGCTGGACTTATTAGCTCTAATACTTTTTTGCAGATTCCTTAGGACGTACAATATATAGATCCTGCCATCTGCAAATAGAGATGGCTTTACTTTTCCTTTCTGCTCTGCCTGTCTTTATTTCTTTTTCTGGCTTAATGGCCCCCACTAGAACCTCCAGCACAGGGTTGAATAGATGTGACAAGAGCAGGCATGCTTGTTTTGTTCCTGATGTGGGGGGAAAGCTTTAAGCTATGGGGTTTTCTCTCTCTCTTTCTCTCTCACTCTGGCAGTACTGGGGTTTGAACTCAGGGCCTTCCACTGTTAGGTCAGGTGATCTACCACTTGAGCCACATCTCCCGTACCTTTTTGCTTTAGTTATTTTTTGAGTAAGTTCTCGCTTTTTGCCCAGGCAGGCCTGGACCCTGATTCTCTGATTTATGTCTTCTGAATAGCTGAGATTACAGACACACATCATCATCCCCAGCTATCGGCTGAGATGGAGTCTTAAGAGCTTTTTGCCTGGGTCGGCCTTGAACCACCATCCTCTCAATCTCTGCCTCCTAAGAAGCTAGGATTATAGGTGTGCCCCACTGTACCTAGCTCTTACATATTCTTATCGCATTGAGGAATTTCCCTTCTATTCTTAGTTTATTGAGTGTTTGGCTTTTTTCTTTGTGATAAGAAGGGATGGAATTTTGTCAAGTGATTTTTTGTGTGCTTTTTGAGATAGTCACATGGGTTTTGTCTTGTATTCTATTAATGTGCTTTGCACTCGTTGATTTTTGGATGTTAAACCATCCCAGCATTCCTGGGACAAATCCTGCCCTGGCCTCAGGTGGGCATCCAAGTGGGAGCTCTCCACTCTGGGATTACCCTCAGCTACTGTCCCCCCTCAGGACTTTTCTTCCCTCTGTCTCTTCTGTGTTTGCCTTTATTTTGATTCTCTCTTTTCCCCATTTTATCACAAACTCTTTTTGTTTTTTTGAGACAGTGTCCAGCTATGTAGCCAAGGCTGGCCTTGAACTTGTGAGCCCCTGCCTCAACCTCCCGAGTGCTGGGATTACAGGCGTGTACCACTACATCTGGCAACAAACTCTTACTTTTTAACATGGGTAAAATCAAGACCACTGTGAAGCCACAAGCTGACCAGTGATGCCCTCTCCTGTTTCACATGAGTGATTGCTGTTTCTTTATCACATAGGGCTTTTTATCATATTTGTGTTTTTTGGCACTCTTGGGGTTTGAGCTCAGGGCCTCACGCTTGCTAGGTGGGGCATTACCATGTGAGCCACGCCCTCCAACCCTTTTGGCTTTAGGTTATTTTTTTAGATAGTGTCTCAAGTTTTTGCTCAGGGCTGGCCTCAACTGGAGATCCTCCCTTGTAGCTGGGACTACAGAGGCACACTACCACACCCAGCAGTTGTCTAACTTTGTACCTGGGCTGGCCTTGACCCTCCATCCTCCCAATCTCTGCCTCCCAAGTAGCTGGGATGAGCCTCCACACCCAGCCTCACCTAAGGATTTTTAGCCCTACTCCATCCTACCACCTCCTCGATAAAAGTTATGAAGACATCCATTCGTAGAGTCACCCCCAATTCCTGACAGCCTCCAATCCAGAGGAAATGTTAACTTTCTTGGACATTCCCTAAAATCACTTCTCATAACCCAAATCCTTCAATCAGACCCCATCCCACCCACTTACTGAGACATTCCCGGGTCCCTGTGCTGTGCAGGCTTCTTGCAACACGGTGCAACAAGTACCAATAAACCCAAATTTGTTCACCTACCACTGACTCCACCCCAACTCAAAGGGTGGACTTGTGGCCAATCAGAGTGGGTGCTGCGTTCCCCTGGCCACAGAGATTGGCTCTGGGGGGGGGG